CTCGGGGGTCCCCACGGCTGCCTCTCGCTGCCACCCCCAGTCCCCAGAGTTCATCTCAGGCCAAAGCTCCGCTCTCCCCACACAGTTCCCCTGGCAGCTGCCAGACCCTGAGGGTCCTGTCCGGAGGGGGTCGAGCACCCCCGGGGCCTCCAGCAGCTACAGCCCCCCAGCACCCTGCACGTCCCCCGGTCACTGCCAGCCCCACTGCCGCAGCAAGGCTCTGGCTCTGGTGCAAGGAACTGCCCCATCCTGGTGTAAGGAGCTGTAAAACCCGGGTGCAAAGAGTTGCACAAGCCTAGTGCAAGGAATTGCACAACCCCAGTGCAGGGAGCTGCAGGATTCAGGTGCAGGGAGCCCCATGACCCTGGTGCAAGGAGCTACACAATCCTGGTGCAAAGAGTTGCACAACCCTAGAGCTACACTATCCTGGTGCAAGGGGTTGCACAACCCTAGTGCAAGGAGCCCCATGATTCCAGTGCAAGGAGTTGCACAACCCTAGTGCAAGGATCCCCGTGATCCCGGTGCGAGGAGTTGCACAACCCTAGTGCAAGAAGCTACACGATCCTGGTGCAAAGAGTTGCACAACCCTAGTGCAAGGAGCTACACGATCCTGGTGCAAAGAGTTGCACAACCCTAGTGCAAGGAGCTACACGATCCTGGTGCAAAGAGTTGCACAACCCTAGTGCAAGGAGCTACACGATCCTGGTGCAAAGAGTTGCACAACCCTAGTGCAAGGAGCTACACGATCCCAGTGTGAGGAGTTGCACAACCCTAGTGCAAGGATCCCTGTGATCCCGGTGCGAGGAGCTGCACAATCCTAGTGCAAGGAGCTTCACACTCCTGGTGCAAAGAGTTGCTCAACCCTAGTGCAAGGAGCCCCATGATCCCCGTGCGAGGAGTTGCACAACCCTAGTGCAAGGAGCTACACGATCCCAGTGTGAGGAGTTGCACAACCCTAGGTCAAGGAGCTACACAATCTCGGTGCGTTCATATGTCTAAATCAATAGAGAAAGAGAGAGACAAAATCCAAGCCCCCGGGCACAACCCTGCCTGCACCCTCCGCCCCGGCCCCCACCCCCTCTCGGCCCGTCCCGGGGGTGGGAAATCCCGGGTTTGGGGCGGGAAAGCACGGGACGCGAACTGCCGTGGCGGGGGACTACAAGTCCCGGCAGGCGCGGGCAGCC